GAGGAAAGTGATGACAAACCTAGACAGCATCTTAAAAATCAGAGACATCACCTTGCCAACAAGAGACATCACCTAGCCAAAGCTATGGTTTTTCCAGTAGCAATGTATGAAAGTGAGAGCTGGATCGTAAAGAAGGCTGACCACCGAAGATTTGATGCTTTTAAATTGTGGTGCTGGAGGAGACTCTTGAGAGTCCCCTGGATTGCAAGACGAACAAACAAATCAATTTTGAAGGAAACCAACACTGAGTGCTCACTGGAAGGATAGATGCTGAAGCTGAGGCTCCAATACTTTGGCCATCTCATGAGAAGAGAAGCCTCCCTGGAAAAGACCCTGATGTTGGGGAAGTGTGAAGGCAAGAGGAGAAGGGGCCGACAGAGGACGAGTTGGATGGACAGTGTTATCAAAGCTACCAACATGAATTTGACCAAACTCTGGGAGGCAGGAGGGCCTGGCGTGCTCTGGTCCATGGGGTCACGAAGAGTCGGACACGACTTAACAACTAAACAACAAAATGAGAGGTACAAACTAGTTCTTGAAAATAAATGCTTGTCAGCTGTTGACCAGGTCTCTGAATTCTAATCTTAGGTACTGCATTTGTCACCTACCTTGTTTTTCCTTGTCTGCTGGGCAATAAGCTGAAGTAATGTTCTAAAATATTAAACTACCATCTAATGATGAAATGCTGTAAATAGTCAAAATGCAATGTAGATATTGTTGTCAAAGTATTAAAAGCAGAGGCGGGGGGGGGGAAATCCAAGTGAAGGTGTTAAAAGAACTGAAATCTATATGCCAGGGTGACAGATACATGTATTCTGGAGCACACTGTTTTTCTTTTAGAATAGTATCTTTATTTGTCCCTTGGATATGTGTTCAGTAATAGTTTATTTGAGATGTGTTGTTTATGTAAAGTGAAAAATTGGTAAAATGATTTTTAAAACTAAAAAAAAACACTGCTTTATTTGCCTCTCATGTGTCTTCTCTCTTTAAAAAATGTGTCCTGCTTGTAGTTAATGAGGCATTTCTAATTTATGAAAGGAACAGTGCCATATATAAGAAAATATTAAAACACTTTGTGTTTGTTAATATCAATTAATTTTGAAATTGTCATCTTCTGAAGCCTGCCTTGGTGATGCAAGACCTAAACAGTACAGAGAAATTTAGTTCTAAAAATGTCATTGTATCTTTTTTTAACTTGTCCCCCTTTTATTTATAATTTCTCTTGATTTCCATTTTTCATGATCTTGTCAACCACCTCATTAAAGAGATTTAAATAGTATTGTTGCTGTTCTGACTGATGGTTTTTATTTAAAATGTTTGCAATTTACTTTGAAACTTGCAAAGCACTAGTGGACTTGCCTCTGTTTGTTGGTACGCATGCAGGTGCAAGCATGTTGATGATCAAAGAAGGAGATAGCACAAGAGATTCTCTCATATGCATGCACACATGCATGTACATGTATGCTTACTCACGTGTGTGCCTGCACACCTACACACAGATATTGCCCACACAGAGGTTATTGTATCTTGCTGCTGTGCCAGACTACATAGCCCCCTTTGTGCCTTGTATATTATTTTCATTCACTGTTGTTTATTTCTAGTATTGGTTTGTTGCAGCAAAAACACCACACTCTCATGGCACCTTAAAAACTAATAAATATATTATCAGGTTTTTTTGGACTAAAACCCACTTATATGTTGTTTCTTTATCTTTTCTTAATGACTATTGATTTGATTTTGTTTAGAATCTAATCTGGAAGTTATGGCAGTCTGCATTGTATGTTACAGTTGGGAAACTGCTACTGTCTGTGGCTGGGTAATGGAGGATATTGATCAAATGAGTGATTAGCTTTATTTCTATGATTTGTTCCTCCTAATTCTCCACAGGTGTCAGCATCATGGTCTCCACTGATAGTAAACTAAATACTGGCAGACTTATGATGGACCTATTTCTGACATAAGTGTGTCAAGGCTGTACTACATCTGACTGCAGGTGGAAGTTCGCACAACAAAATATTATTCAGAACAAAATAATTATTTCCACTTTGAATTTCTGCCTTGGAAGGGGATTCCCTCTTTGCTGCTTTTGCTACCCAGTTGCCTTTTACAGACCAGCTATGGTGATGGTGCACAGCTTACCAAAGAGAGCCTTGTTAGGTAGAAACCTAAAACAATTAATAGCAGTTATACATCACTCTGGCATATGACTATCCTCCCATATCCTCCTGACATATGGCTTTCCTAAATGCTCAGAAATCGTTTGCCATTCCCAACTTTTGTCAATGTTGTGGGACCATGCATTTTGCCTCTGGTTACATAGATGGCAGAGCACATAACCCCATCAGCCACACATGCTCTTGATGCTCTCAGAGAGGTAGAGTGTAAATTCAACTCCTAACCCCAGCAGTCTAGAGCCAGACCACCTCAAGGCTTCTGCTGTTGGGAAATAATTTTCTGCAAAGGGACATGATACATGCAGTTTCAATTCAGGGTGTGCATTAAAATGCATAAACACACACACTCACTCCTACAGAAGCAATAATCCCTAGGATGAAATGTGGCTCTTACTTCCGGCAAAGGAAAAGTTATGCAAAACTTATTTTGTGTTTTGTATGCCTGCCCAGTGTTGCCTGTCAGCTTCCCTTTGTTAAAATAAGTATGGTTTCCTTTTTAAAAGATGGGTAGCAGGAATGGTAATGGTGGGTAGGGATGGTTCATGAGTTAGGGTGTTTTGGGTTCTTTGGCACAATTTTTGAATCTCAGCAAGTTCATTAAGGTATTTTTGCCAAACCCATGAAAAAGGTTTTATTTCTTTCTAACTGATTTAAGTCATATTTAAATCAGAATGTATAAAGGGAACAGAGTGTATTTGTCAGCCTGAAAGTATGGACATTTTTAAAAATAAAACAGTGTATCTATCTGCAAAAGTCGTAACTATTACCATGAAACTAACATCTGAAACTTGGCATGAACACTATGGGAAACCTAGAGGTGTGTTCTGGGAGATTGTTTTTAATGTATTAATTAATAAATACAAATTTATATAACTGTGTGTGAGCCCTTCTGGCCCTAGCTGGGTTGGCAAGTGCTCCTTTCTCCATTCTTTGATCCATGAATAAAAGACACAGGTGATTGAATAAAAATGGGATTTGTTATAACTGGGTTGGGGTTTACAGCAACAGTATCTTTGGATTTTTTTTGGGGGGGGATAGTTTCCTGCAGTGCTCAGGCATCTGTTCTCAAGTCTAATGAATTGGGGTCTTTTATCTCTCCAATTAACTTTACTGGGAGGGATTTATGTCCAGTCCCGTTCAACAGGGCTGCCCACACTGAACATAGGTGTGAGGTCCACAACAAGTAAGGTCAGTATGCTCACATAGAGGGCAGCAATGCCAATCTCTCACCCAAGTCTCTTCCTAGGTTGCAGGGTGCTAGCTCTGCTGTGCCCACTAGCAACTCAAATGGGTCACAGTAGGCTCCTCAGAAGTAGGTAGGTTGTCACTCTTTCCTTTGCTACTCTTCCCATTAGAAGGCAAAGGAGGAAGCTGAAGTTTGAGGTGTTTTTCCACTTGGACCCTAGTGCCCAGAGTTAGATGAGCATCTCCATCCTACAGTCTTCTTTAGATGTGTGTTCCCAGTCCCTAGATAGCTTCTGTTCTTTTGGGGAATCTTTTTCAGCACAGATGTCTTCCTTGGGGTTCTCTAAGGCATCCCCCCAAAGAATTTTCCTCCTCCCACTCCTCTTCCTCACTTACTAAGCTGGTGCAAAACACTGTAGCCAGTCTATTTGTGAATAGCTGAAGGAAAGGAATGTTTAAGGTTTTTTTTTTAAAAAAAAAAAATAGATATATCTTAATCTATCTTCCCTTTCTCCATGTGTTGTTTCGTTACTGGTTTTCTGAGGGACCTGTTTTTAATTTGAACTCTCTAGTAAGCTTTAGGCACTGTAAACAGTCAAAGCAAGCAAGCAGCTTCAGCAATCTAGTAATTTGTTCTTGATAAAGTTCATGGTAAATCTAATTTTAGCTCCATTTTATCAAACCATACAAACTCATAGAAGCTTTAAAAAAACAAAATTATTTTAACTGAAAAATCAGTACAAGCCATGATGGGGATGTATAATCTCCAGGCTTAAAAGGAAGGTACCTCAAAATGCCAGTTGCAGGGGATTGATGGGTACCTCAAAATGCCAGATGCAGGGGATTGATATTAGGAGACAGGTATCTAGTTGTCTTGTGTGCTCCCAGAGGCATCTGGTGGGGCCACTGTGAGATACAGGAAGCTGGACTAGATGGGCCCTTGGCCTGATCCATTAGGGCTCTTCTTATGTTCTTATGTGGAAGCTCCTAGACTGTGAAAGGCTCTCCCATGGGAGATCAAACCCTCTTCTTATGTTCTTATGTGGAAGCTCCTGTGAAAGGCTCTCCCTTGGGAGATCAGGCCACTCCCTCCCTTTTATCCTTCCACCAACAGCTGACAACCCATTTCTTCAGGCAAGCTTTTCACAATCATGATTGAGTCCCCGAATTCCTTTTGAAAGTTAAGATAGTTCTTCATGTTTACTTGCTTTTAATTATTCAGTTGCATGTTAATTAACATATAGTTTAATTGGTTTTTAAAAATTTTAACTTAGGTTTTTAATTCTATTTTAATATTGTGAACCACCTTGGGTCCCCTTTTTGGGAGAAACAAACAAATAATACGTATTTAGAAGTTCTCCTTTCCATCTCTACCAGTATCTGAGATTTATGCTACTAATGTTATTCTTCATTTTCAAATCTTTTTTTAAACGTCTTTCTAGGACTGGATTACATATTTCATGATATCATATCCAGCTCTGAAATGAACAGCTTTGTAATCCAAAGTGTGTGCACTGGAATTGGGGGACCAAAGAGTTACAGGATAATTAAACTTTACATGTATGGTGTATTTGTGATTAAGATATTTTAATATTTTTCTTCATTATTAGATTGGTGTCACAGATTTGTACCACGTTGATGTCATCACTGAAATCAAAGCTACAATTGCTGCGTTCTCATCTCTCTGTGTCAACTGTTCATCTCTTCCGCAGCAAAGATGAGTTCTACAACACAACCAGGTCAGTCTGTCTTTGCTGAACAATTGATCCTATTGCGCAGGATCAATGTCTGTGCTGAATGAATCTGGAATCCAGCCCAGTTTGGATCTCATTCAGAGGGAGAAAGAGGTACCATGGCTGATAAACATAGGAAGAGAATATAACATTTATATGCATGTAGATGCCCAGAATATGTATTTTACATCTTTAACAGATGTTTAACAGACATGTATTTTAATACTGAAGGGATGTGGTGCCGTTGCGGGTTAAACCGCAGAAGCCTCTGTGCTGCAAGGTCAGATGACCAGCAGTCGTAAGATCAAATCCACGTGAAAGAATGAGCTCCCATTGCTTGTCCCAGCACCTGCCAACCTAACAGTTCGAAAGTATGCAAATGCAAGTAGATAAATAGGTACCACCACTGTGAGAAGGTAATGGTGTTGTGCTGGCAACGTGACCACAGAAACTGTCTACAGAGAAACACTGGCTCTGTGGCTTGGAAATGGGATGAGCACCGTGCCCTAGAGTTGGGACACGAGTGGACTAAATGTCAAGGGGGAACCTTTACCTTTACCTTATTTAACATTGAATGTACTTAATATCTTGTATTAATCTGTATTTTCTCATCAGTGCTATTTTCTTGGGCTTGATGATCATGATGATGCTTTTCCCAAATGAAGTGCTTTTAATCACAATAGTTATTTTGGTACTTCTCAATATATTTCAATATTTTTAAAATATTGAGGCTTTGGCTTTCTGTCTTAAGCTGTTAGATTAAAATGCCTCCTTTTTAAACATTATATTAAAAGGCCTACACCTAATTGGTAGTCCCACCAAGAATCAATTGTTGAATGGTGGAGCAACATATAAATCTCACTGATTCAAAATATATGCCATGGCTTGGATTACCAGTTGGATTCAGACCAATGTCATAACAAATCAGCAAGCATTGAGCAATCTGTGCATGAAAAATATATAACAGTTCATGTGTCGTGTGCACAAAAGACCTCTACGTGAATCAACATGAATCAAGCTCTTCCCTGCCTCTGTTGGCCTCAACATCGGAAGTCTCTTGCAGGCTTCTGAGCACCAGATAGATGGCCACTGTTGCCAGCTGTTGGCAGACTGATCACCTGTTTGAGGACACTGAATGCAGTGGAATCTTCTTCCCCCCCTGAACAGGTTGCCAAACTTAATGGTGTAAATCCTATGCTCAATGAAGAGGCCCTTCCTTCTTTAGAATACGAAGGCACATATTTGGCCTTTAATAGGTACTGGGGTACTGCTGTTGCTTAACAAGACCTGCTCTTGCTTATAGACAGTTCTCCAGCTACTAACCCATGATAAAAGATCATGCAAAATGAACACAAACACAGAGACCAGCAACAAACAGTCTTGCCAGTTCTCTCCATATATTCAGGGAGCACTGTTATAGTACCTAATAATGTCCGCCAGAGAACCAACACTTTTTTGTATTCCATTGTAATACATCCAATCATCTGACAGCAATACTGTTTTGTACTTAGCTCAGTCTTGGTGCAAAAGAATAGAAGAACGCAGATCTAAAATCAAAAGGGCAATGTTCAGAAGCATTTTGATTTCTGTGAATGTGTGAACTATTATGGAAAGTAATAACCCACTACTTTCTTTACATGCATGCAATGTACAGATGCTGAAATCTCACTCTTTCCTCACTAATGTTGTATGAAAACTAAGGTACATCCAAAAGAGGCAGAAGAAATTGGATGCCTCCTATGGTAAAGAGAAGATATGTCATAAGTCAGAATCAACTTGACAACTCCTCTCCCTTCTCCTCCTTTTCCTCCTCCTTCTGATTACTAGAATCCAAAAGTTTAAAAATGCTGCATCATTTTGCCACTCTTTAAAACACAAAACATGGAAATCTGTCTTTTAACAGCATCCAGCATTATAACATTGAGGAAGCCAAGGCGTAAGGAACACTAGTCTACTACAGTTCCTTTTTTATTCACCCATTTATTTAAGATGGTTGATAACAATGAAATGTTGGTTAAAAAACAATATCATGATTAAAATATGATGTAAAAACAAATAAATTAAAAACACAAGAAATAAGTAAATATACAAACAAAATTAAAACATATACTCAGCACTTAGCAAGTCAGAAGTGGTCTTAAATTGGTAGGTATGAAGAAGGAGTGGAAGGAAGGAAGTACAGTGGTGCCTCGCTTAACAACGTTAATTCGTTCCAGTGAAATCGCTGTAGAGTGAAAATGTCATAAAGCGAAATAAAAAAGCCCGTTGAAACGCATTGAAAACCGTTCAATGCGTTCCAATGGGCTGAAAAACTTACCGTCCAGCGAAGATCCTCCATAGGGGCAGCCATTTTCGGTGCCTGTAGAGCGAGGAATCCATCCAAAAACACAGCGGGGAGCCATTTTGAGCACTTGGTGGCCATTTTGAAAACCCAATGGTAAGCTGTTTTGATCATCGTAATGCGAAGTTCTTCTTAAAGCAAAAAAACCCCATTTAAAACATCGTCGTGAAGCGGATTTGTTGTTATACAGAGTAATCGTTAAGCGAGACAGGACTGTAGAACTGAAAATAAAACAAACTGCACTTACACACACACACACACAAACTATAATGCCATTAGTACTTTTTTATTGAGGAAGAAGGACTCTTCAGTAGTAACTATGAACTTCTGAAGAATACAAGCTTTTTAAAATCAACATAGAGTGCCTTCTTTTCAGGAGGAGCCAACAGTTTGAACCTGTAATGTATGCATCAGTAATTTATGTATTGTTGTGTTGAATTTTTTGAAAATTGTGCATATTTAGGCACATTTAGAAATCAGAAACAGAACCAATATTTCAGTATCAGCTTAGGAACAACAGGAAAAGAGATTTGATTGAAGTTTTGCTTCACCTTTTAAAATTCTGTTTAACAGTGTTTTGTAGCTGTGGTTTGCCAAAGTAATCTTCTTGCCAAACACATTGTGCCGTAGTTGCTTATATAATTAAGTTTAGCAAAGGAAAAGTGAAGAAAAATTGTAATTTCAGTCTATGCATATTTAGATGCAAATCAATAATTGTGTGTTGTCAAGTCATGGTGGCCCTTCTCAGGGTTTTCTTGATAGAGATTATTCAGAAGTGGTTTACTATTCCCTTCTTTTGGAGATGCCTTGGATCTTGCTGAAGGCCACACAAGCTGCTCTTCTGGGAGGCAATGTGGGGAAACAGAGCTATCCAGCCAGATATAAAGACACATTATTTCCTTCAGGGGACTGAGTTTGTGAGAGGTGTTTGTGTGCATGTGTGAGCATTCACACAAAAGAAGTGCCACAATGTAACGTACAATTCATAGTAGCTGTGAAATAGACAGTATTGAAAACATACATTTTGGCTCACATGCACTTCATCTAGAATGAAATGAAAACTGAATTATTTTGGTGTTGATGGGGGTGGTGGATTTTTTTAATGAATTTATGGAAATATTGTTAAAAGTTCAAATATAACATGATTAATTGTAATTTAATGATGTTATATTTCAGCAACATTTTAAAACTTGAGAATTAGGCTGTCCGCCCCTTCACAATCAACAAAAGAACCCAAGAAAATCTCAGTTTTTAATTTTAATCTACTGCCGAAAAAAGTGTGATTCCGTGTATGCATGTTTTTGTATGTAAAAAGAGTGAGCATGAGAGCTCTGCATGACTCTCCTATTAAAGATGCTGGTTCTATATTTAGTCCTACATTGATTTTAGATGGTTTTGTATATCTATAGTCTATTTGGTAAAACAAATTCTCTGGATAGACATACAGTAAGTTATGTGTTACTGCTTTATACTTTCCCTGGCTGGCAATAGGGAAGAAAGGGAGTGAGAAGCTAATAATCTTATCAACAAAATGTGTAAGCAATTTTTTTAAAAAATGTGGGCTATAGATATTCCAGAATGTGGGTACTGTAGTAACTTGTGTGCTACCCAAGGACTCAGATATGAAACTCTCTGGATGATGACTGTGGGCCAGTCACAGTCTTTCATACTGATCTATTGCACGAGGTTGTTGAGAGGATAAAGAGAGGGAAGAGTAGAATCATATATGGTGCTTTGAGGCTCATTGGAAGAGATGTAAAAATGAAATGAAATGAATGTAATGCATCAGATAGAGGTTGTGTACCTAGCAAGGCGAAGCAAACACAAAGTTTGAACAGATTAGCTGAAATCAAGTGATCTGTGAAGAAACAAAATTGCATAAGATTCATGGAAAGGAGGGCCTGTAAGCAAAGGGAGCAAAGAGGTAAGGATGATGAGACTGTGGGACAGAAAGCCAAGGTGGGAGATAAAGTAGCAGTGGCTGCAGATGTTCTGTTGATGTGAACTAACTAGACAAATCCTTGACTATGTGTATCTAGATATCACTGTTTACATATTATGTGGCATTTAATCATTTAAGGATTAAAGGATTATAGGTAAAAGGTTTGGTACAGTCGGATCAGCATGAGGCAATCAGCTCAGATAAGAGATGCTGTGATATGACAGCAAAGTCTTGGAGAAATGAACTGCGTACCATATGGCTTCCCCTGTGCCCCATAAGCTGGCTTTGCTGGCTTCAGGTGTGATGATGTACTAAAGAAAAATCTAATGTGAAAAGGTTTACTGAATTGAAGTACATGCCCATGCGTTTTTTATACATAGAATGGTTGTGGGTGCCATTTTGTTCTTTGCTCCCACGTGCAAAATGTTTTGGAAGAGGAAAACAGTTGCATATTAACTAACTAAAGTGGTTAGCAAGCAATGATCACTACTGTGAATCTGCTAGATATGCTGACAATTCCTAATCTATAGTTATTACTATTGGATGGATACATGAAGTCTCCAGATTCTTCACTTATTAGATTTTTACCCCGTTGTTTTAGTCTATATTTTAATTCATTCAGCAGTTCAAGACTATGTGGTTTCTCTATCCTCACAATAATTCTATAAGATGCACCAGATCTGGGCCCATCAAGTCCAGTATTGTTGACACTGGCTGGTAGCA